CACACTTCTGTCTTACTCTGTATCTTGTATATAACTTTAAATCTCGCATATAACTATATATTGAGTTTCTTATAATCAGCATATTTTTAATACATTCTGACAATCTCTGATTTTTAATTGATGTGTTTAGATTATGTACACTCATTGATACCTTTTCATATGGGTTTACCTATTAATAACTTATTGATGGTTTGTTCCCTTTGCTTTCCATTCTTCTTTGTTCCTCTTCCTACCTCCTTGGGCTGATATAAACACTGTTAGTAGCTGATGGCTGTTTTGGATCAGAGAAGTGCAGACAAAGGCAGGAGGCCAATTGTCCTTGCAGCTCCTCTCATTGTTGCAAACCCCTCTTTCTCTGGCTGAGCTACCTTTCAAGACATTAAAACGATCAGAGCTCTTTTTGCCCCTTTATTTATTTATTTTTTAATTTTCCCTCCTTTGGGAGCTAGACTTTAAAAACTAGGACATTCAAAAACATATATGGGGGAAAATAGAAAGTAACTGTGCATGCCAAGGAAAAGGGTCAGAAAAGACCCAAGAAGACCTCAAGTTTACACTCTAGGCTGATCCTTGACACAAAAAGAGCCTATAACAATTTTTTTTTTTTTTTTTTTTTTTTTTTTAAGAATAAGAACAACAACAAAAAACCTGAGGAAGGAGGAGAATCTGATCGCCAAAGTTACCACATTATTAGAGTCAACAGTCCAGAGCTCAACAAAAAAATTATAAGGCATCAAAGAAACAGGAAAGAATGGCTTTCAAAGGGGAAAAAAATCAATAGAAACATTCCCTTAAGATCTAATTTCAGATATATTAGACAAAAACATTAAAACAACTGTCTTAAAGATGCTCAAACAACTGAAGGAAAATATGGAGAAACTCAAGAAAAGGTTGTGTGAACAAAATGAAAATATCAAAAAAGGTAGAAAATGTAAAAAGACACTCTGGAACTGAATGTACAATTACTGAAATGACAAGTTTACTTGAGGGACTCAAAGGCAGATGCGAACAGATAGAACTGGTGAACTGAAGGTATGACAATGTAAATTATTGAGGCTGAGGAACAGAAAGAAAAAAAAGATTAAAGAAAAGTGAACAGAGCCTGAGGGACCTGTGGGACATCATCAAACAAATCAACATATGCATTGTGAGAGTATCTGAGGAAGAAAAGAGAGAGAAAGGGACAGATAAGGTGTTTGAAGAAATAATGGCTGAAAACTTCCCAAATTTGAATAAAGACATAAATATAAACATTTTAAAAGCCCAGTGAGCTCTAAGGAAGATGAACTCAGGGACATTCGCACCAAGACACATTAAAATCAAAATTTAAAAAGACAAAGGCATAGAGAGAATTTTGAAAGGAGCAAGAGAGAAGTGAATTATCACATACAAGGGATTCTCAGTAAGAGTACCAGCAGATTTCTCATCAGAAACTTTGGAGGCCAGAAGTGCTAGAAGTAAAAGAAGACAGAGGAGGAGGGGGGGAGGGGAGGGAGAGGGTCAAACGCGACGCCGTCCTTCAAGAGTTCAAGAGTGAGGGGGAAATTAAGGCATTCCCAGGTACACAAAAAGCTGAGGGATTTTCTGTTAGGTGGGCAGCCTCTGCACTACCTCGTCCCAATGTGTCTTGGATTGCTGGGTGTGGGGGGTGGGTAGGAGAATTCTAATAGACTTTGGATTCTGTAGAAATCAGGACTTTTCCTCACAGAGTATAATGAAAGATAGGTCAACAACGAGAACCCTGAAGCTCCCTCATCAGAATCCCATCCCACTGTAATTATCTTTGTGTATTTTGAGTCTAAAATAACTGAAAAAGGTTCTTTCCTATCCTGAAAGGAAAGGCACAATGCTACCCAGGGACCATGGAGAACCTTAGAGGGCAGCCTGTTCCTTCCAGGAAGAGAGCCTGAATCTCTCAGCCTATCTTTCAAGCCCTCAATGAGTATGATGCATGCCTCCGGAGGGAGGGAATTTTTGTGTTTTATTTACTCTCTAACCACTGTACCTAGAACAGTCCCTTAATAAGATGTGTGCTCCAGAAATATTTGTTGGATGCTAAAAGAATGAATGATCTTACCCCTGGTCCACCCATTCATTCAGTGTTGTTAGGGGACCTTCAGAGCATGAGATTGGAAGAGCAATTTAATTTCCCAGCTTCTTTGATGAGAGGGAGAGGAAGAGCCCAAACAGGCGTAGCTTGTGGTTTCTGGTGTAATGGGAAATTGTTCCCCAATCATTTGATTCAAAGCTCTGGGAAGCTGAAGTAAGTCTAAAAGTGATTTCCCCCTGAGAGGGAATGTGGGGTCAGTTTTGAAATGGTTGTGACCATTTGCCAGTTTTTCTTTGTGTTGTGATTTATGGTGCATGGAACACGTGGTGCCAAAAAAAAAGAAAACGAGAGTGCCCTCTCTGAGACTCGAACTCAGGACCTTCAGATTATGAGACTGACGCGCTGCCTACTGCGCTAAGAGGGCAACCCGGCGCCAGGGGGCGCGTTACACGTGGAACAGTAAATAGTACTTTCCAAGCACCATCGTGTTATCAGTTTCCAGTTTTTAAAGAGTCTACTTGAAAATTAACCCATATGAACCAATGTAGCTTCCCTTTCATTTTCCTCTGGCAGCTTTCAGGATTTTTTTTTTTTCTCTTTTCTTTAATTTTCAGACGTTTGATTGTGATATGCCTGGGTGTGGATTTCTTTGGGTTTATCCTGCTTGAGCTTTGCTGAGCTTCTTCAATCTGGATTTATGCGCTTTGCACTTTCCAGGCCTGCGTAGGATTGAGGAAAAGCAGCAACGTGGTACACCTCACCCTTGTGGGATCACAGCTCCTCTGGGGAGACAGAATGCGAATTATAAACCGGTGGGTATATATATCCTGGATTAGGGTCATCAGCAGTCCCGTGTTGTCCATGCTCACAGGTCAAAATCCGAAAAACGTCCAAGTGGCCGCCGCGTTGGAGAGGCCCCAGGTTTTGTCGCTTTCCTCTGTGGACCAGGAGACTTGGGGGCGCCACCTAGAGGGCCGAGGTCGGGGCAGTAAAACCTGGAGAATGCGGGCATCGATCCCGCTACCTCTCGCATGCTAAGCGAGCGCTCTACCATCTGAGCTAATTCCCCGCCTGCCTCGTGGCTTTTTCTCTCCAGTTTCCCTTTTATGACCAGATGTGCGGGTCTCCAGTATCCGCTATTTCCGGTGGCTCAGGACGCAGGGCCGTTGTCGCGGAACCAGGACTAAGATAAGAGCACGTGCTCTCAGGGACCACGGGGCAGAGCGCGGTGGGCACCTGCTCAGCTGGGGAAGGAGGACAGGGGACGGGAAAGTCCCCGTGGGTTTAAGTGGCGCCGCGAGAACTTCACGTTTCACGTTTTCCAGAACAGCCGACGGACCCACCCAAAACAGACAAGGTGGCACAGTTCCCTCGGGATGACACATGGCCCTTTAAAAAAGGTGCGATTATCCCTTGTTCCTTGCAGCTGGGTGCGCCTGGGAGCAGGTGGTGCGGCAGCCTCTTGTAGGTTCTGGAGGCAAAAAAAACCCCTAACAACTTCCAGCTGTTTCCACTTGGTCTTGAGGTAGGACCTCTCGTGTGAGGCCAGTGGAAAAACCTCTACAGGACCCTCACACTGGAGTCCTTTTTTGCTTATATCTGACATATGCATTGAGTCCTGTTCAGGTGTAACATGTAGAACCCACCCATCCCCGCCACATGAAAGTCAGCAAAAATCACAAAAGTATTACAGACAAAAATCATGGGGATTAAGAGACAAGATCACATTAGAGTGAAGGAATAAACATTGGAATGGAAGGAGCAGGTTAGGAGGGACGCACACAGGGTGGGCGAGACAGTCATGGATGTAGGAATTCCTCTGTGAGGAGAGGTACCTGTCCTATTGGGTTGTATGGTGCCTGATGTGTCTGCATACCTGCCATAAAATATACATGAAGGGAAGCAGTGATTGAAAAGCCTTGATACTTGGAGATATGACCAGAAAAAAACATTGTTAAGGCTTAAAACCCATGAAAAAAATCCAGGCACACACCTTATATAATCAATTTTACACTTTAGAAAAAGGTTTTCAGTTTTGAATGACAAAGACCTTGGAAATGGGAACTGGAATTGGAGAGAAAGGCAAACAAGTTATAAAGTTATTAAAGTACTGAGATTTATTCACACAAATCCTGCCAGTCGCTGAAGCAAACAGCATGGGTCTTTCTCCAGCTCCTGCCTCCACTGTACGGCCTGGCACAGAGTATCTCCCCATAAACATTGTCGAATGAATGGAGGGATAGATGAAGGGGAGGAAGAGAAAGATTCTAGAGAGACTATAAAGAGAATCCACAATATTTGTCAAGACATTGTGTGTAGTGAGTTGAGAGAGAAGTCTTAGATGTCAACAAGCATACAGACCAATGGAATAAACCTGAGGCCAGAAGTAAACCTTAGCACATTTTCTTTCAGCATTAAAAAAAACACTCTTCCATTTTTTCCTAGTGTCTATGGTTTCTGGTAGGAAATCCCCAAACATTACAAGTTGTAGGTTCCCTTTCATTTTCCTCAGGCAGCTTTCAGGATTTTTTCTTTTCTTTAATTTTCAGACGTTTGATTGTGATATGCCTGGGTGTGGATTTCTTTGGGTTTATCCTGCTTGAGCTTTGCTGAGCTTCTTCAGTTTGGGTTTATGCTTTTTGCACTTTCCAGGCCTGTGTCAAGTTTAGGGCAAAGTTGCATGTAGAAAACGGCAACGTGGTCTACCTCACCCTGTGGGGTCACAGCGCCTCTGGGGAGACAGAACACGAATTATAAATTGGTAGATCTTTATACACCGGGTTCGGGTGATCACGAGCCCTGTACTGTCCATGCCCACAGGTCAAAAACGGAGGAAACGGCCAAGTGACCGCTGCGTTCAGGACGCCCCACACTTTGTCTTTCTTTTTGCTCAGTGGGTCAGGAGATTTGGGGGCGCCTCCTGGAGAGCCGGGGTCGGGGAAGAAAAACCTGGAGAATGTGGGCGTCGATCCCACTGCCTCTCGCATGCTAAGCGAGCGCTCTACCACCTGAGCTAATTCCCCACCTGCTGGGGCCTCGCTCCCCTTTTTTTCTTTTGTGAACAAATGTGCGGGTCTCCATTACTCAGTTTCTGGTGGCTCAGGACACAAAGAGAGTCAAGACCGGTCACAACCGGGAGCCGGGCCTAAGGGCGCGTCCTCTCGAGCAGAGCGCGGCGGGCACCGACTCAGCCGCCGAGGGG